CCTCGAAGGTGCGCTGTGATTGATAAATCGGAACAAGTAAACTCATGGCTACCGGCAAGGACTGTCGTGGGGTCATCTGATGTCAACCGCATTCCGGTATTCAACTTCAGTGATTCAAAAATTACGATTGAAGAAGGAGAGCCTGTGGGCGTTTTGGAAGAAGTGGCCTGGATAAGAAAATGCTCGGAGAATCTTGTGAAGAAGGACAGTACGGGAATAGACTTTGTAACGAAAATCTTAGACGAAAACAAAAGTCTGACAAAAGTGGAGACTATGAAAGCTAGAAATTTACTCCTTCGATTCTCTGATGTGTTTTCAAGAAGCGATGGTGATATTGGCCGAACTGGTTTGGTGAAGCATAAAATAAACACAGGTGATACAATGCCAATTCGTCAAAGGCCCAGACGTATACCATTCGCTCGTGAGAAAGAGGTTGAACAAATGATTGACGACATGAGGAAAAATGACGTGATAGAGCCCTCTTCTAGCCCTTGGTGTTCACCTGTCGTGCTTGTCAAGAAGAAAGATGGTTCAACGAGGTTTTGCGTAGACTATCGACGATTAAACGATGTAACCAAGAAGGATAGCTACCCGATACCAAGAATCGATGACACACTTGACACACTGAGTGGCATGAAATGGTTTTCAACGCTCGATCTGAAAAGCGGCTATTGGCAGGTGGACTTGGATCCCAAGGACAAGGAAAAGACCGCATTCTCAACTGGGAAGGGACTCTGGCAATTTAAGGTGATGCCATTTGGATTATGCAATGCACCGGCAACCTTTGAGCGTTTGATGGAACAGGTGCTGGCGGGACTGCTGGGCGAAACCTGCCTAGTTTACCTCGATGACATCATCATTGTTGGACGGGACTTTGACGATCATCTAAGGAAATTGGAAAATGTACTGGAAAAGCTGCGTGGAGCAAATTTAAAGTTAAGTCCAAAGAAATGCTCTTTCTTCAAGCGCGAAGTGAATTATCTAGGACATGTTATTTCTGAGAGAGGAATTGAGACTGATCCAGCCAAGACTGCCGCTGTTAAGGAGTGGCCCACACCTAAAGACAAAACGCAAGTTCGGGCATTTCTTGGGTTGTGCTCGTATTATCGGCGGTTTGTGAAAGGATTCTCGGACATTGCCAAGCCTTTGCATCGATTGACAGAGGAGAAACGTGCCTTTATCTGGGACGAGGATTGTGAGCAAGCCTTTCGAGAACTAAAAGAACGGCTTTGTAACACACCAATTCTCGGATACCCCAGTGCGAAAGGAATATTCGTAGTAGATACGGATGCCAGCAATATTGGAATAGGAGGTGTCCTTTCACAACGCGAAGGTGAGCAGGAGAAGGTTATTGCTTACTTCAGCAAGTCACTATCCAAGCCCGAGAAGAATTATTGCGTGACCAGGAGGGAATTGCTGGCCGTAGTCAAAACTCTGCACCATTTCAAGAAGTATTTACTGGGACGGAAATTTTTAATCAGAACTGATCACGCTGCTTTGAAATGGCTGCTTCAGTTTAAGGATCCTGAAGGCCAAGTAGCCAGATGGTTGGAACAACTTCAGGAATTTGACTTTGAAATCGAACATCGCGGCGGAAGAATTCATGGCAACGCAGATGCATTATCGAGACGCCCATGCGTGGAAGATTGCAAGCATTGTGCCAAGAAGGAAATTGCTTTTCTTAAGGTGATAAGGACTGATACTGTTGACGAGGCATGGGGAGATGATGCGATGAAATTAGAACAGGAAAGAGATGCGGATATCAAACCAATACTGCAGTGGCTAAGAAGTGGTAACAAGCCAAGTTGGAGTGACGTCGCCCAATATAGCGCGGTAACGAAAGGTTTATGGGCACAGTGGAAAAGCCTTACGCTGTATAACGGACTTCTGTGCAGGAAATGGGAATCAACAAACGGCAAGGACGAGCATTTGCAATTGGTGGTGCCTCGTTCAAAAATAAGGGATGTATTAAAAGCGTTCCATGATGGATCTTCTGGAGGACATTTGGGAATTAGGAGGACTTTGGTGAAGATCAAGGAGAGGTTTTATTGGTTGCATTGCAAATATGACGTCGAAGATTGGTGCCGGAAATGCACTAGTTGTGCAGCTGTCAAGGGTCCACAAACAAGAAGCAGGGGGGCGATGAAAATCTACAATGTTGGTATGCCTTGGGAGAGAATAGCCTTAGACATCGCTGGACCATTTCCAATCACTGATTCGGGCAATCGCTACGTTTTAGTGGTTATGGATTATTTTACAAAATGGCCGGAGGTCTTTGCCATACCGAATCAAGAGGCAGTAACTGTAGCCACGAAGTTGGTAAATGAGGTATTCACCCGATTCGGAGTGCCCTTGGAGATGCACAGTGATCAAGGGCGGAACTTTGAATCCCAAGTTTTTCAGGAAACTTGTAAACTTTTGGGAATCCATAAGACTCGAACGACCCCTTATCATCCACAGTCAGATGGAATGGTCGAACGCTTCAACCAAACATTGGAGCGACACTTAGCAAAGGTGGTTGACAGCCATCAGAGAGATTGGGACACTTACATACCTCTCTTCTTGCTTGCCTATCGGACTGCTGTACATGAAAGTACCGCAAAGACGCCTGCATTTGCAAATTTTGGAAGGGAATTGAGATTACCGGCAGATCTTGTATCGGGCTGTCCACCTGGCGACACTCGCACCGAGTTTAGCGATTACATAAGCGAGTTAAGGGCAAAAATGTTGGACATTTACGAGCAGATCAGGGAGGCCGGTCTTCAAGCTAGTGATCGCGCAAAAACGCGCTATGATCGACGAGCCAATTCTGTTGGGTTTGAAGAGGGGTCATTGGTCTGGCTTCATAATCCAGTCAGAAAGAAGGGAAAATCTCCGAAGCTGCAACCGAGTTGGGAAGGTCCTTATGAGATAGTCACGAAGATCAATGACATTACTTACAGAATTCGGAAGACTTCAAGGAGCCCTTTGAAAGTTGTCCGTATAGACAGGTTGGCGAGGTATTACGGCAGCAACGATGCTCGGGACGAGCGAATCTAAGAGGGGGGCAGTGTGACGGAAAAGTGGTTCAAACTCTTTGACATCATGACGTCAATGGATGGTTGTCAAACGTTGCCTAGAGATTGTAAATTTCGTCGTGAATTGTCAATACGAGTTGGTGTAATTGGTAAGGCGTGTGGATTACACCACAGAGACCCCGAGTTCGAGTCCCGCCGTAAACATGAAGTTTTTTAGTTGATGGAAGTTTTGTCGAACTTTCTGGAATTATTGTGTAAAAGAAATGAAAAATTAAAGAGCGAGAAGGAGAATAAATAAAAATGAATAACGAAATTATTGGAAGGTTCTGGAGGCATGACGATCAAAAAGAATAACGAAATTGAATGTTCCAGAACTTGACCGGGGGTATATAAGCGGAACTGCGGCTCACCGCTGGCAGTTGAGTTCTAAGTCTAAAGCGATTCGGAAGAAAAGGAAGAAGTGAAAAAGAAGAAAAGTGAGTGAAATAGTGAAGTGCAGTCAGTTAAGTGAGTTAAGTCAGCGTGAACGGCAAAGTTGTGTCAGTCGGCCGGACTCTGCTGGAGAGGAACGCCGATAACTTAACTCCGTGGACGCTGTAACTTAAGTGCAATAGAAAGTCTGAAAACCGGTATTAGTGTTTCATTTCATCCAATCCCGTAACCCAAGCCCGCATAGTCAGGAACGTGACGAGGCACGTAACAATACCTATAGTACCATACAAAAAATACTATTAAACTATTTTTTATTTCCGTAAAGTGCTCCTGTTATTAAGTGTAAGATCCTTATGGTACCTAATTTAAGGTATGAAGGTGTCTAATAATCTAGAAATTTACAATAAATAAATAAGATACATAAATTATAAGATCGATTAGAAACACTCATACAGTGAATAACTGGTGGCATTAGATAAGTACCTACAGTAAACAGGAAAAAAAATATAGTTACATAGGTACTGCATATTCATGATTGGATCTCTTTCCACAGTCCTTTGAAAGGAGAAATAACATGAGAACAACACAAGACACTATGTGTTGCAAAATAGAAAAACAATAATATCATTAATAAACCTAACAACCCATATTATTAATTTACAAATTAAGTTATTATTAATTTCATAAATTAAGTTATTAATAATTTCATAAATTAAGTTATTAATAATTTCATAAATTAAGTTATTAATTATTTCATAAACAAATCTGTTATAATTATTAACACTTATGTAAAATAATTAACACTTTAATAAATTACTGTCATTTAAATAATAATGTGCTTACATTTTATTATAATAACTATTTGACTTTGTTCCAAAGTCATAATCATTTATTCCAACTAAACTCAGTCCATTTGCCAGTGAAGCTAGGTTGAAAGAATTTTAAATTACTAATTATAATGAACCTAACTTTAACTTGTTATTAATTAATTAGTTAAGTCTAATTACTTTTTGCCCATAACTAGTGCATACTGATGTTTGAACTGCATGTTCTTCCTCAATTTCAACATGCTGACCAACAACAGGAAAAAGAGTTTTTCACTAATAGTTCTTGGTAGTTTTTTTATATATCTTAATATATAAAAAAAATTGTGTCACATGTTTGTCCGCTATGGACTCCTAAACTACAATTTTGATCCAACTTGAAAGATAGAATAACTTACATCTCAATCAATCATCTCAATTTAATTTGAGTTTTTTTAAAATGAGCTTCTACAAAAATACCTAAAATGATTCAGCACAAAATAAAAAAATATCACAAGCCTTATACTTTTTCCTGTTTTTTGTTATACACAGAATATTTTCTTTGATTTGATAAGAACCTTCTGACAATAATAAATAAATATAAAAATAAAAGAATTGGCAAAATTGGTCCAGGCGTTGTTGAGTTATGAGCTTACCAACTCTTTTTACGATTCATTTTTATATTATAGACGCAGGGTCACAAGCTATTTGTGTTTTTCACTAATTTAAATTTTTAAACTTGTTACAGGTCGTCCATCTTCGACGATAACACGCATAAATTTGGAGACATATGCGTCGTCAAAAAAGATGGCAAGTCCATTACTTTGATGGACGAAGTAGTTCAGTCTGGTTTCGCTTATACCGATGAGAATTTATTCCATCAACAGCTAGTACAGAACAACCTTCCAATTAAGCTTGGCTATGTTGCTGAACACGATGTACTCAAGAAGCTGAAAGAAGGATTCCTACCAAGAAGAGTACCAGAAAACCTATGGCTGTATATTCTTCGTCAGCAAACATCAGTTTTCGAAGAAAAACAACAATTAGAAGAGTCAATAAAGAATCGTAAAGTTCCAATTCAAGATCGCGATAAACTTGATACGATTTTTAAGAGTAAGATGAACGATTTTAATCTTTGTAAGGACGTAGATGAAGTTTCTGCAGGTAGAGCGAATAGTATCAGGCGGAATAGATCTACTGTTGAGATCACCGATGTGAAGACAGTCAACTGGAAAAATAAATTTGAGTGGTTGGAACAGAAAGCTAAAGAAAAGAGAAGACAAAATAGTGGATCCGAATGTAATAAGAGTTTTACAAGCGGCGATACCGACAGAAGTTCCGAAAACAAGAAACAAAACGGACTTACTCGGTTCAGAAATGATAATAATCGTTTTACAAATAAAACCGAAAATAATCGCGATAATAGAAGTGAAAATAACAGCGATACCAAACGTAACTCTTATAATAACAGCGATAACCAGAATAGTGATCTCAATAATCAAAACTATTGCAACGATAGTCACGAAAATAACGATCAAAACAACAAAATTAACATCCGCAATCACCAGAATAACCATCGCAATTACCAGAATAACCACCGCAATTACCAGAATAAGTATCGCAACAATCAGAATAATGATCGAAATAACCGTAATGATGATCGCAACAACCGTAATGATGATCGTGATAAGAATGATGATCAAGATTACAGAAACAACGACGAAAATCATCAAAACTTGAATAAGTTAGGTTAGTAAATTTTCAATTCAGTAATTATCTAAATAACTAGTTCGTTCTATTCTTTTTAAATTTAGTATTTTCAGAATTTTTTTTTAGTTTTATAGTTTTGTTAATGTATTATTTGCTATTACAGTTAAAAAACCACAGAAAAGTGCTGGACAAGAAGTTAGGAACATCGCCTATGGTCCCGCTGGACTTGCTCATACCAAGTTCAGAATAAAACCGTATGCAGAAGATGAAGAAGAAAGAAAGAAGACGAAGCAATTACAAGAAACACAGAAGAAAATGTGTGAAAACACAACCCCAGAGGTAAAATCTAACATATCTAACTCAGACACTTCAATGCAATATCAACTTACACAAAACAGCGTTCAAACTGATACTCAAATTAATACTACACGTAAGAACGGAGCATTCGAATTTTTGAAACGCAAGCGGCAATTTTTAGAGCAACAGAAAAGGGTTAGTAACGTTGTATCGCCATCAGATAATGAATCCGATAACGGCATGGCAGCTTTAGATGAAGAATTACGTAAAAAATACGAAAAACATGATAAAAAACCTGAAGAAAACATTGAAATTCTAGGTGAACCCGAAAGAAAACCAAATGTAAATCCGTATAGAAATTTGGACGGTAGCATTTCCGTGTTTGTCGATAAGTTAACCACACCAATTCTTATGGTGCATACTAAGAAAGGTAATCGCGTACAACCGATAAGTAATATGAGAGATATTCCGTTTGGTAACAATATTCATTGTGCCCTCCGTGATATGCAGATCACGAGGCCTATGAGAACGCAAACGATTTCATGGATGTCCATTCTACGTGGACACAGCTTCTTTGTAGTCAGTCCTCATAAAAGTGGAAACACGATGGGTTATCTGCCAGCTGTGTGCCGCTTAGCCAGTGATTTTAAAGAAACATATGACAAGTGCGAATTAAGGAGCATTATAGTTTGCGCTACCTCTCGTTCTTTGCACCATGTTCAGAACGTGTGTAAAATCCTTGCTCACAACGTAAAGGTCTTGGCATGTCACGCTGGAATGTCCGATTTGTCAATAACGACCTCTCTTCTCAACGGATGTGATATTCTTGTATGTACCCCTTCTATGCTAGTGCGTCTTATTCAAAAAGACTTTTGTCTTGATCTCCACAACATTTCAACTTTTGTCGTAGACGATTGTGAATATATATCAAAATTCTACGTTAAAGAAATAAAATACTGCATAATGAAAGTATTAGAAATTGTTAAAAAGCGGCCAAATAAAGAATGGAAGTGTCAATTTATTGCTGTCTCGCGGATTTGGTGCGATGTCTTGTCCTCTCTGGCTAAGAAAGCACCTGACTCCATAGTATGCATTTCTGCTTTTGAAGAATGTGTTCTCTATTCAAAAGCTGCTACTACCGTCGAGTTTCTTGCCGAAGAAAAGAAATTAGGTTCAGTCATTAAATTTTTACAAGACATCGATAAGTCTAAAAAGACGGTTATTGTATGTAAATCTGATCATGAAGTAAAATTAATTTCCGAAGCTTTGATTAATTTAAAACACGTCGTATTTTCGTGCGATAGTAGGATGACCGTAGAGGATTTATACGCATTAGATAAGGCGCTTAAAGAGTATGAGGAGCCACTATTAGGGCCAATTTTAGTCTGCTGTGACGGGAATTTGTCTCATTTGAACGTGACAGACGCCCATTATTTGATCCAGTATTCTTTACCCAATCTATTTTCCATGTTCAGTAGACGATTCGCAGTATTAAACGATAACTATTCATCTATTTTCAATGATACAGATAGTAACGTAAAAATTAAAATATTGCTAGATGATAGTAACATCGAGGCTTTGCCAAAAATCCTCCAGTTTGTCAAAAGATGTATGCGTGACGTTCCACCGCACCTAGACGAAATTACTTCGGAAGTTGTCAGAGAGAAGAATTTGGTTTTGGCCAAGAGCTTAGTTCCGGTTTGCAAAATGCTTTTAACATTGGGAGAGTGTTCGAATTATTGGGATTGCCACGATAGACACGCTTTCTTCAAAGAGTACGATGAACCGAAAGAATGGCTGCCAAAGGATGGTGTTATTAATTTCAAAGTAATCCATTATCATTCCGCTGCACATTACTCTACTAGGCTTTTGTCATACGTATCTAATGATAAAACAACCAAAACGTTCCCTCAGAACTACAGCTTACTTTCCCTTAAAATGGGATTGTACTATAGTAAAGAGTCTAATAAAAGACTTCAAGGGATTTTGAAACCAGGCGATATTTGCGCAGTTACTTTGAAACAAAACCTATTCGTACGCTGCCAAGTTATTAAGATTTTCAATTTCAAAGGTAATAATGTGTTGATCAAATTAATAGATGAAGAAAAATACAAATATGTTAGTGATACTTCGATATACTATTTACCTGACGAGTTAAAGAAGATTGAAACTCATGTCGTTAATGTTGCACTGGCTAACATAAGACCTGAAGACAAGGATGTAACGTATTCAGACTTAGCTGAGAAACATGTTAAGCAGTTCATTGAAGAAAACGATGAGGTGTTTGTGAGAGGTCAAATAGCAATGGTTACAGGAAATACGGTCTTAGTAGAAAGCTTAGAAGTCTGCCAGGAATTGTCTTCTCTAGAAGAAATTGTTGTGAAACATAATTTGCGTAAAGAACTACTAGATGGGCACGCAGTATCTTACCCGGAGCATATAAACAATTTGAAGAAGATGTGCGATTTTGTTGTCACCAGTGACGCAAACAACAAACAGACTATTAAGGATCCAATTCCATCAGCTATCTCCAAAACTCTGCCAAAATGCCGATGGGCTCATTTGGAAAACGGCGTATTTTCATCAGTGATGTTTATGGCGGCCGAAAATCCTACTCAATTCTTTGTCAGGCTTGCAAAATTCGATAAATGTCTGACAACACTTATAAATGATATTAAATTGTATGTAGCTGAGAACCCTGAACCGAAAAAACATATAAATGACGGAGATATAGTTATTGCCGAACATCCAGACGACTCTACATTTGAGAGGGCTAGAGTAGAAGGTAGCATAATTAATGGTAAAGTTAGATGCTTCTTTGTGGACCAAGCAGAATGGAGGGAGGTTTCTGTAAAGAAAATTTTACCAATCACTGAGAAATTTATCACTCAATTACCATTCCAAGTTATTGAATGTAGATTAATAGGTGTTAAGCCATTCGGTGAAAGCTGGTCAGATTTCGCTACCAATTTCTTCACTGACTCGTGCTTTAATGGCATCGATCAGCATAAAATGTTATATACAAAATATTTCAAGAAAGAAAAGGCTACAGTCACGGACGGTCACAAATATGGAATCGTTTTAATTGATACATATTCTGAGGAAGATATAATCATTAATCAAATATTGATTGAAAAGAATTTGGCGAAAGAAAATGATGAGATAGAACTTTTAGATAATATAGGATTTGAAAAGGAAGAAGAAGCGACATACGATTCGGACGACGAGTTCGAACCTAAATCAGTGGTTAGTACAATAGATAATGCGATTTTCTCAAAAAACCCAGACCAACAGCCTTCTTCTAATAACGTCCTGCGATATGTGCCGGTTATGGATTCTGAAGAAGATGAGGATGATGATGAATATGACTTAGTGTCTGCGGATCCTAAGACTCCGTTTCCTGTCCCGTTGTCAGAAATAGTCAGTATTAAGGAGCTTCCAGATGCAGAGTGGACTGAAGAAGATGCTGCTTCACCTTTAACGTGCTACGTCCCAGGTGAAAATAATGAACAGGATACGAATACAGAAGATGTGGATTCAAAAACCGATAATGAGGACACACAAAATAATACAACGGACTTAGAAAACAGTGAGGTCGATACAAAAAGCATTGTTGAGGAAGTTAAAGATAACACAGTGGACGAAAAAGTAAACGCTGAGGTTGTTAAACCTAAAACTGATGTTGAGAAAAAAACTAATGAAATAATATGCAAACCTAAACTATTATGGTCACAAACTCGAACTGTTGTCACTTTAAAAATACAATTGATCGTCGATAAATATGATATGACGATTAAAGAAAGGTCTATTAATATGTCCGCTACAGTTAATGATACTGCGTACGGCTTCGATATAGAACTATATGGAGTAGTAAATGTAAACAGATGTTCTCATGCCAACAAAGGACAATATATTTTGGTTAAACTTTGGAAAGTTATGGCTTCTAAGTGGCTTTCATTGACTAAAGATCCCGAGGTTAAGAAATGGATAGCTTATGATATGGACACAATAGAGGTATCGTCTGATGAGGAATTCGAGGTTGTTGATAATTTAAGGAATATATTGCAACATAGAGAAGCAGAAAGCGAGAGTGATGATAGTCTGCTGGACGATACTAATTTCAGATACAAAGGTTATTAAGGTACTAACGAACTTTAAAAAAACATCCCACAAAAGGATGGCAGCGCACTTGTAGTAACTACTTTAGTAATCAGAGTATCGATGGGTGGAGCCGATTGCTTATCATCAGGTAATCCGTCTGATCGTTTTCCGAGCTATACCATAAAATTAAAAGCTTTGCTGATCGGGCTATTGCAATTGGAAGTCTCAAATATAAATTTTGTAATATGTTTCATTATAATTCTTCTAGCGATATCGATCTCTTACAATCTCATATGAAAATTTTAAATAACTCCTGCCTAGCTTGATTTAGGCGTATTGTCTCCTCTGTCGACCTGTTCGCCCATGGTTTATAACTTACTCTACCGAGTTCGTTAAAATCAAGAATGGCTTGCTCAATTAATACTTTTGTGAAAACTTACTGAAAGTTAATAATATTTCTTACTTGAAAACTGTCTAAGTTTTCTAGAAGATGCTGGTGGCAGCGTTATATGAGTTCTAATGAACTTTTACTGCTGTTTTTACTAAGTAACTACGTACGGAGTTGTATGGAGTCTAGCGGTATTGTATTCATTTCGCAACGTGTAAGAATTTGCATTTTTTTTGGATAACAGGACAGTGGTATCTGTACTTATCTGTACTGTCTGCTTTTAGGGAATATGTACGCATGTTAATTCAATTAGAAATGCTTGTTAATGTGTTATGCATTAAAATTTAATAGCATATTTTGTTGCCAACAGTTTTAAGGCATTGTAAATCTAACTTTATACATTTAGGATATGAAGTTTCCTTTATAAAATCGAACCGTAAAGGTCAAGAATAGTGTAACAGACTATGAAAGAGTAAATTATATTACCAATTCAGCTGTATGCGTATATAATTGTGCATAGGTGGACTTGTAAGCTTTTAATACCAGTCGAATCTGTAGCCGATATTTCATTCCTTAGTACTGAAAATGAAGAGGTATTCTTGCTTTATTTCTATAAGCTGTTTTATTTTTCAAATATACATATAATGTTTGAAAAGTTCTTGCTGGCTTGAAGGTCTGATGGATGCCTAAGACCACTTGGAACGTGAAAATTAAAATTATTTTACATATTAACAAAATGCCGGATGTAGTGAATGTTTTGTACATTTGGCTTTGATGAATTTAAGAAAAAAGTCCACTTTGTCAAAAATGGCATGTCAATGTGGTTTTTTGTCTAAAATGTTAATAAATTTTTGACATTTTGTCATTTTATTATTTTAACTTTCACTTTGGTGCATGCATGATAGTTGTAAGTTTGTTTATTGCTGTTTTAAAAAATGACATTGTATTTAAGTTTTTTAAAAAAGGTTTTTTTTCGAACCTTTTTTTGTTTTTATTATTTGATTTTATCAACTAGTGGAGTCTTGTTGAACCTTAGTATCTCTTACTGACTAGTCTTTTATTTTTAAGTACATCTTTAAACTTTCTCCAATATGGTGCCTTATATAGGACCGTTTTGAGTCCTTAAAACTAAAAAATATGTCTAAAACTTGTTATTCTACTGTCTGTTATTTTAATTATATTTTTGTAATAAATAGTGTAAAAGCATTTTTTGTTATCTTTTACATGATTAACTGTCTCCGATTTTTTAACATTTGCCTGTTTTAACTTATAAATTTAGATTGCGTTACATAGCTTTTGGCAGGTTTTACTATATAAACATTGAATGACAATTTTTCTTTTTACCAGACATAAAAGGGTTTACGATCCAATAAACTAAAGTTTAAATAAGTAAATTTATCTTTATCTTAGTAAATATATCTTTACTTAATAGCGTTGTGTTTCGCCATGTGAGTGAGGATACCGTCGGCCCAATAATTCCCATTTTTTTTAATGGAATAGGAGGCAAACGAGCAGACGGATCACCTGATGGTAAGCGATCGACGCCGCCCATGGACATCTGCAACACCAGAGTCTTAGGTGCGTTGCTGGCCTTTTAAGAAGGAGTACGTTCGTTTCTTGAAGGTTTGAGGGTCGTATCGGTTCGGGAATACCGCCACCGGAAGATCATTCCTAAGCTTTGCTGTGCAGGGCGGAAAGTTACGCAAAATATTGCACAGTTGTTGACTGCCAACCATCTATGTGATGGGGATGAACATTTTTTCGCTTGGAACGATAGCGAAAAGATGCGGTAGGGATCAAACCGAAAAATTCCTCAGAACTCTCCCCGTGATAAAGTATCTCCCGTGATTCCCCCCGATAGAGAATACATAGCGAGGCTACATCCCTACGCAGTGCCAAAGAGTCCAGCCGGTCCGAGACAACAGGGCAGTCAACGATTCCAACAACTCGTCGTTGAATGCGGTCCAGAGGGAGAAGCTGGTACTGGGGTGTCCCCGTCCAAATATGAGAACAGTATTCCATATGGGGCCGAACCTGCGCCTTGTAATAGCAGGCAATGCCCCGGGGTGAAATACTGCCTCGATCTTTTGAGCTTCCAAGCTTCTTCGAGGCTAACTTTCGATTCTCGTCTCGATTTCAGACACAAGCCTGTTTAGACTCTCTATGACGTTTTCTCGAGAAATGTTAGCACGACCGGCGTAAAAGGCATCACCCGTGCTGCATCCGCATAACAATGAATGCCACTAATTTGCAACATATCATTGATATGGAGGAGGAACAGTGTGGGCACGCAGCCTTGAGGCACGCCAGCGTTCAAAGGCAAGCAATCAGAGCATTCACCGTCGATCGCGACCTTTATGCTTCTGTCTGCAAGGAAGCTGGATACCCATTTACACAGTTTCTCGGGAAGTCCACAGGAAGGTAGCTTCGTAAGAAGCCCTTTATGCCAAACCCGATCGAAGGCCTTCGCTACGTCCAAACTGACTGCCATCGCTTCCCCCTTAGACTCGATCGCCTGTGCCCAACAGTGTGTCAGATAAACTAGAAGATCACCAGCGGACCGGCTCTTACGAAAACCGTACTGTCGGTCACTAAGGAGCTGATGATCCTCCAAGTACCGAAGGAGCTGGCAGTTAATAGATGGCTCCATTATTTTTGAGAAGAGGGAAGTTATGGCTATCCCTTCCCCCAATACCAGAATTTCCATATCCCTAATCCCCAAAAGGTCGGCAATGCACTCGTAACTCCTGTTGTTGCTGATGTCCATGGGTTGATTGCTTACCTGTTGATCAGGTAATCCGTGTGCTCGTACTATAACATAAAAAAAAGTTTCTTTACGATGTTTTCTTTTATCGTTTGTCAGTGGTGACTAAATAAACTTCGAAAAAAATCACACTCACACGCCGTGCCTTCATGCATGGCAAGCCTTAACGTCCTGGCTACCTGACCTTCCTTGCAACCAGTCTCACTGCTATATCTTAATCACTTTATCATATCGTTAACACCAACATAGTTTGCAATAAATACTTTTTGACCAATATGTCATTGAGAAACTGTCGGAACGCTTGTAAGAACGAAGTGGTTTCTTAATAATGAGTGAGTCGATCATATTTCACCCTCAGAAAGGGGGCATGAGGGTATAATAGACTATTTTCTTGCAACCACATCACACATCATCTGCCAATAAGTGCCCACTGCTGAGCAAAAGCCTCTTCACACACACATACGTATCTATTTCGTATGTCTTGTATAAAATTAAGTCTGTATGCTTGCTTCTTGCACCAACCATTCACTCGTCTGTGCATCACCCAACCTCGACTGGTAGAAAATACCTCAGACATTGAGTCCGCCTATGTACTCATTGTGCATGAAGTTTCAAATAAATAAAAACCTAAGTCGAAAGAAGGATGTTCCAAAAGATTCCTGGAAGATGTCGCTTTTAGCTCTTGTTAACCGTCAGAGCTACCACAGAGTGACACACAGACCAGGGCTGCGGATAAAAAGCTATTACTACAGCACGGATCACAGCAGGAGAAGGAACGGAATCGTCTTCGTTTTTAATCAGTAATCTGACACTCCCTTATGCCTCACATATAGCAGAAGTATTGGATGTCTTTCACCCCCAATACCTGCCTTCTGGGGCATGAGAAGAAAAGTTCTCGCACGTGATCTGTCTACTTTTTTGCGAGCAGAAAGAGGAGACGGCTTCCCAGTTCTTCTCGCTCCGCACCATAGCCTTGAGTAAGGCCTGGCGCGAGAGGTCACCGCCGATTGCTTCCCTGACGATACGGCGGTTATCAGCCCAAGTAGGGTGCGCCGCCATCGTATGATCCACCGGGTTTTCCGGGTTGTCCTCACGTTGACGATGACCAGTTTCTTCCCGTTTATTTCCGAAACAGATACCTCCCGAAACTTTTAAGCGGGTTTCTCTAGCCACTCTTCAAAGAGGAGTCGTACCGCTGAGTTATAGCGAGCCCGGCCCTCAGCTAAAACTGTACAGTCGTTTCCACTCCGCAATGAGATCCCGAAGCTCATTCCGCTATGCAGTAATCTGACACGGCAGCGGAGTTTCTAACTTAAGACGCACGTGCGCCTTTTCCTCCAGAACCCATGGTGGTGATCCGGAATAATCGCCGCCTTCCCGGTGATCGTGCGATAGCCACGAATGACTCATATGGCCATGACCCTCTGGGACATGACCAGCGTACAAGCTGGCTGTCGCCTTAAATTTGGCTCCCAGACGTGAGAGCCGTAGGGGATCATATATGTATGAAAGCAGTAGCTAAAGATATATAGACGGGTGAAGGTATATATGTTGTATGTATTATTAGTATATGTAAGTTTATATTGTTATTGTATTTGTTTAATACTTATACATTATTATTTTAATTTTTTTGTCTTTTAATTACGTCTACAAATTTTTTTGCTGCCTGCGAACACCGTTTTTACTCATCTCTGCATCACCCAAAGGTTAGACTGGTAGATAATGCCCACGGTATTAAGTCCGCTTATGTACAAAAATATGTGTGTATAAAGCTTATTAAATAAATATATAATACTAGTTGCCTAGGTGAAACTTCGTACCACCTCAAGATTAACTAATCTGAAGGTTACCTAAACCTTCCTTGACCTTCAAATAAAAATTTAATGAAATTACCCAAATCGGCCCAGCCGGTCTCGAGTTTTAACAATGAAACAATGAATTTATTTTTGCAAATAGGCCATAAAGCAGCACCTTTACACGTCAATTTATATGTGAAAAACTAGATGTCCTATCTGACTACTCTGAGAAGAAATGCCGAAATAAACTCAGAGGTCAGTCTCTTTTTTGACGA